CAGGCAAACTAATCGGTATATCCTGAACATTATTAAGCTAAGGCATAGTTGTGCTTAAACGTTTCTCTTTGCTGAAGTGTTCAAACTGGGAAAGCAAATAAAACACCTACGTATTTCAAAGTATTAAAATAACGACATGGTATAATAATCATAACTGGCATCAGAAATGGACCCGAAATATCACATTCTGTCACTTGAACTATATTAAGACGGAGACCTCTCCCCTTCCTCCAACCCTTACCTGCATCCCTCTCTCTTACCCGTCTACCCCCACTCCCCATGCAATGTTCGGCCTGAACAGCTGCTTGGTGCGGCGCCCGGCCGCCAATGCCATGTAGCAGCGCCCTAACAGCGCCGTATTCCATCTCTACCAGGCTGTTGGAGATTTTCTCTATTTTAGCCATGGCACAGCGCTGTTTCAGAGATAACTGGCCGGTTACTGTTTCACGGCTCCGTCCGGCTAAAGCGCAACAGACTCGGCCAAGCCCTGCGCCGGTACCGTCTCAAAATTTTAATTAGGTACCATCACTTCTTACACGGGCCGTAAGCCTTACTCTCCGCAGACCACGCCGGATCAGCGTAAACCTGCTCAGCTCCACACTTGACTGGCGTGATCCCGCCGCACTCCAAGGGCAGAAACGCATCTGGCCCAACTATTAAGCCATGCCTCGGCTCTCCCCCTTTCGCAGCCAGCAGAAGGCTTTTCTCGATTCTCGTTGTCCGATCAGTGATGCGCCTGGCGCGATAGAGATAGGATATACACTACACGAGCTGTTCTTCAAGCAGTCCGTCTGAGTACGTTATTCGTGCGTATTGCGTTGTTGGAAACTTCTTATATGCCTTCCACGAAACTTCTTATATGCCGTCCTATGAGATGAGGTGAACAAACAGTAAATTCAACAGTGATATAAATGAAGATACTGGACAATCTAGATGCTATGCCCAATAAAACAAGTCGCAATGGGTGTAACGAGGTTGTGGCACTTCCCAGCTCTCAAGAGCCCACTGGGAACTATCCAGAGAAGATCTTGGATCGTTCGGTCCCGAAGACAGCCCGCTCTAGACCCGCAACCCAATAGAGGCCGATTAAGTTCACTGGGAATACAGCAGAAAAGTGGCGCATTCAGTCAACTAGGCCTAGAAATGGGTTGTTCACGGGAGGACTGCTTCGCAACGACTGACCTAAGGCACAGTTTTGTATCTCGTGAGAATGATTACGAGTTGTTGCCATATAAGATAAAACTTACAACCTTACAGTCCCTATATACAGGGTGAACCAGAATTAACTGACCCTTTTAATTTGTTAATAAATAAAAAATTAAGAACGTTATGAAGTTGAAACTTGTTTTATTTAAAAGAAGAACATTTTTATGGTAATATTGTATCCTAGTTAAAATATCGTATCCTATTACAATATTTTATTATTGTATTAGTTAAAATATTTATTATGTATTAATAATATGTATTAGTTAAAATAATGTATGTAATATTGTATCCTAGTTAGTTATTGTATCCTAAAAACTAGGATACAATATTACCATAAAAATGTTCTTCTTTTAAATAAAACAAGTTTCAACTTCATATCGTTCTTAGTTTTTTATTTATTAACAAATTAAAAGGGTCAGTTAATTCTGGTTCACGCTGTATAATAGTTAATATTGAATCCACGTATATCCTGGGTCTTCAGCTGCATTTTAATTTTTCAAGCGTACGAATTTGTTTGATGTTTTAGGAAGCATTCATATGATGCATGACCATGATTCACCACCACGACTTCTTCTGACTCATTTATAAAACTGATATTCAAATATCCATTAAAATGATTGGATAACTTTTTGTTAAATATTCGCATGAGTATAATTATTCTAAAATATATTTATTAGCATGCATTAGAACTCGCGTATTTCCGACATGACAGTATTGCGTTAAATGATTTATCTATAAAATCTATCTTGCGCCTCGGAATCAACTCGTCTCTAGTAGTAAATCTCAGCAGAATTTGTACGAAGTTAGCTTTACATTAGCCATTACTTTGAATATTAAAACTACTCGCATAACTACGGGACGCTTACTGTTACTGCGTCAGGATCATAATAACAATATATTGCACTGATTAGAGGATACATGACTACATGCCCCCTAAGTAATATAATCATTTTATTCATCGTCACCAAACCTGTCGCAGCAAAGAATTATTAGGTCATTTATTCAATAAATTAATTCCGATTTCGGTGCACGCGTTGTATTTAACTCATTCCTTGGTGCTCAAGCTGAGAGAATATGTAGAAACAACTTCCAAGCGCAATGAAAAATTTTGTCATTAGCAACACAAAGAAATAGATCAAATTGGTAAGATTTTCCAGGAAGACCCATTTCTTCTCAACCTGTTCTCAAACCTGCGACATGCATGATCAGTTATCAGATGAGAACAAAAAATGCCGCATCGCTCCGTTGTTTAATTGGTCATCTGTGTATGCGCCAGATGAAGTAATGCATACGCAACTAGTCGGATATTTAACTGTTCTATATTATTTGTTCTAAAATTTTTCTTGATTTCATAGTCATGTGTTCGCTCTCAAAGATATATTCTACAATCTACATTTTCCTTTATCTTGAACATTTTGATCGTCCTGCGTTTCTATATTCTTGAACACTTGAACATTATCTGACATACGCATTACTCACATTTAACACCTTTAGGCGATATCCTACATGTGAACGTTGTACATATGCATCGACTAACATAAATGTAAACATCAATTATAACTACATTACTTTAAGCAGCAAGGGAATTATGTACATATTGATGAACCACTCTTCTTCATTTCTGCCAAGTTAAACAAAAAATAATTAGAGAATTAAGACAGCCATTCAAGATCTTGTATTATTTGCATAGCAATCTATCGGCAAATGCGTCGTCACTAACCCGACAACATGTCAGCTAAGTTTTGTTTTTAATGAATTCATTTACGGCTCATTTGGAACTTCTTCATTTGAATCATATATATATATCTTCGCACATAATAATGTGCAGAATTTTGATTTACCTCCTGACTGTTAGAAGATAAATCTGAGAAGATAAAAATATATGAAGGTTTTAATGGTGCCTTTAAGTCGATTGGTTACTTGGCTGAAAAGAGAAGAAACTCGAGTGCTTTGATTGCGTTCCAAGTCAAGTAACTTTACAACAGAACGCAGGCTGATGGAATAGCATTAGCAGACACTAGACGCTCAATATTCTTGCTTTTGGTAAGCGCAATAATATTGAGCGTTTATTGACCATATTTTATGGTTGCGCAAGCACGTTCAGATATGTTCAAATATATTGTACTAACCGCCCTGGGATGAATTTTATGAAGACAAGATTTTGAGTAAAAATTCATTGCGTTCGGTGTTTATTATTGTGGTCGCATTTAATTTATTGGGTTTTTAATATATGCTACTTTTTTAATACGTCTTATTCCTCACCATTCTAGCACTTTTCTCAATACCATCTCATGAGCGCATAATAAATCCATTCATTTCGGCATACTGCTAATAATCCTCAATTTTCTGCACAGAGCTAAGAATATTATGCAAGTTAACATATAACAGGAGCAGAGCTGGGCAGCGCTACTTTGAAATGTAATTTTAACTTCTGTTTTTTTTCTTATGACTCCAAACTTATTATATTATTAATTTATTATTAACTAATTAAATTAATTAATTATTATTATTAATTTTCTTACTGTATTTGTGTTCTAGATTTATCGAACTGACGATGGAGCTGGTCTCTGAAACGTTTTCAATAGAGAAATGCTGAATTTTTGTGGAGTTTTCTTCGCTTTTAAATTTCTAGTGAATCTGCGATTCAAGCAATTTAGTGACATTATTACTAATGATATTAGACCTGCCAGGCATGGAATATATCTACTTGGCAAGCTGCGACTGAATTTTTGGAGCCATGGTTTTATGGATTTTCCAGCCGTGATTCCATTTCTTTGAGCCTTGAATANATGAAACGTTTATGTTGACTTGTTTACATTATGATGATTATGTTTTGCAGGATATTTTGGTGGGAATGTTAAAGCAATAATGCTGATTATGAAGTGGATTGTTTTATGAGTCCTCCAGTGTCATCTGGAGTGGTGGAGACTGGTACCAAGTGGTGAGTTGGTTGTGATGATGAAGAGCGGTGGTGCAGTTTCTGGCGATTTTGTTGTTGAAGACTCAGACCCTGACAGTGAAATTCCCCTTGAGGCTACCCCTGCCGTTTCTGCTTAAAAGCACAAGAACTGTAACTCATGCGGTTCAAGTGAGAGTCTTCCTGGCAGTAGAGCAAAACACTCAGCTGCGATTAGCAGAAAGTTACCAGGTGCACCTCTGCACCAGTAAATGAACATCCAAATGGCAGTCAATTTTAAGTAAAGACAAAACTATTACTATTATCAAATTCAACTTTGCAGAGTGCTGATGCTGGCCAGACCATCTTGGTGAAGCCTCAGGGACCTAATGCTCTGAATTTTCTGAAGGACCCAATTGGCCTTGCCCAGGGTATCAAGAACTCAATTTTTGGAAAAGTTAGCAATTTGAATGTGCGCACTAATACTCGGTGCCAACTAATTACCTTAGAAACACCCTCTTTTATAGGAAATCAGATGTCCAACTTTCTATCTGTGTGCATAATTGGAAAATGGGCAGTTTGATTCTACCAGTTTGGATCAGATATCCGTGTGTGTGGAGTTCTGGGTCCAATCGATCCCAGTGTGGGCATAGAAGATATATTGGAAATTACTAATGCTGGAGACTGTCATTACCAGCATCACTAGGCTCATCAGATCTCAAAATGGAATACGTACGTGAGTCATCAGCTCCTTTCACGTTAACATTTGAGGGACAGACATTGCCTAGTCAGATCAGAATTGGATATGTATCCTACCCAGTAAGAGCATTTGTGGCTGCTTCTTTGAGATTTTACAGATGCCAAAGATTGGGACATTTAGCAAAGGGTTGTAATTCTCCTAGAAGGTGTCTTCTAGTTGCTGGACCTCATGAGCACACAGTTTGTAAGTCAGCTGAGAAGCAAGGGATCCAACTGCAAGGGATCCCACACTGCAAATTCTCAAGAGTGCCCTTTCAGTGTGAAAGCCATTTCAGTTGAAAAGCTGCATGCCACTGGTTATACATATGCTCAGGCTGGTAAAAAAGTCGAGTTGTCAGTACAAAGACAGGCTCAGTTGATGTTCATCAATCCCCAGGCAGTTACTCAGGTCTTCACACCAAGCAGTCTCAGCCTCTTGTGGGTCAACATGCTCACTCTGGCTCCACAGATGTTGCTGCAAAAACTCAAGGGAGTGAGAGTGCCTTTGCAGACTTAAGAAGGATCATGAAGGGGGAGCTGGCTTCTAGCGAGAAACGACTGGACGATAGTATTTGTGCATCACTTACTGGGTTTTCTATTAAATTGGGTCAATTCATGAATAAAGTGTTCAAGCTGAATCTACTGAGTGAGGGTACAAAGGAGAGATCTCTGCTCCTCATTAGTCTCCTGAGAAATGCCTTTGGACAGGAAGTTAGTGAAACTCTGCAGAGGAAGTGGCTACCTGCCAACAAGGATGCATCATGACCAAGTTTTGAGTGTGTGTCCAGAAGTCTGTGTCTCCACCTTGAAGCCCAAGAATACAGCTGATCAAGCATCTGTTAAAAAATTGACCTCTCCACCTGGGCAGTCTTTCTCACAGTTGACTCGTGTTGTAACCAAGATAAGTGGAAGAGCTAAAGAGGGGCGAAGGCAAGATTGCAAGCAGTTCAATAACAATGAGCTATATAATAACAATGAGCTATACATTAAAATCCCAGCAACTTGCCATTACAGAAGAGAATTGGGTATGGAAATGGTTCAATTAAATTGTCATGGTTTACGTGGAAAACTCACAGAAATTAAACTTTATCTGTACAATGAACACCAGATGTGGTCTGTCTCTGTGAAACATGGGTAAGAGTGCATGGACCATCTTTTGTAGGGTATTCCACTTTATAGTCACATTGGGAAAATGCATTAAGGGGAGGTATGGCCATTTTAGTTCGAAGAGATATTGCAAGACTACAATTTGATCTTCCACAATTCCCTAAAGGTGCAAATCTAGAATACAGCTGGGGAATTTTCTTTGGCTCTGAAAGCTCAGAAAAATACTGCTCCCGGACATGACACACAGCTGGGGAATTTTCTTTGGCTCTGAAAGCTCAGAAAAATACTGCTCCCGGACATGACACAATCATGAATATTTTCTTCTTGAAGGCATCACCTTTGTTCAGGAAGGAGCTGTTATCTCCTATGAACACAGGTTGGATTTCTGGCTTTGTTCCAGACACGTGGAAGCATGGAATAGTTGTGTCCATCCCCAAGTCAGGAAAGCCACAAGAACAAGTGAACGGGTATCGACCCATCACTCTTCTTCCTTGCATGGGGAAACTCATGGAGCGTATGGTCAGACGTCGCCTGGAATATACCGTGGAAAGACAAAACCTTTTCTCTTCACTTCAGCTCGGTTTTCGAAAAGGAAAAAGCACAATTGATGCTCCGCACCTAATAAAGAATGCCATTACTGCACTGAACATAACTAAATGCCATTACTGTCTGGACATATAGGGAGCATTTGACAGTGTGTGGCATAATGGACTGTTTTTCAAACTGCATGGTATTGCAGTGGGAGACCAGATGTTGGCCTGGTTGCATAACTATTTTCAAAATAGAACTATTCAGGTGCAGGTTGGAACAAGCAAATCAGTGTCAAAGCCTGTGAGAGTTGGAGTCCCGTAGGGTGCTGTACTGTCGCCAACATTTTTCAATGTGATGCTGCATGATCTCCCAATTTCTCCTCATGTGAAGCTGGTTGGTTATGCTGATGACATAACACTATTTGTGAATGGGCATTCCCCAATCGAGATACAAGGATGCATGCAGCGGTATCTTGATGAGATTGGCGAGTGGTGCACGCGCTGGCAGTTTAAGCTTAACCCAGCCAAGTGTTCTTACCGGATCTTCACGTCTCGTCGTGCTGCTCCAGCTGTATCGCTTCGTGTATGCAACAGAAATATCCAGTATGTGGAGCACCAGAAGGTGTTGGGATTTTATTTGATCCTCCTCATCTTACCTTAAGGAACATATTAGACAAACCCACACAGCCTGTTTGAAAAGGTTACAATTCCTTAGAGCACTTAGTTCAGTGAAATGGGGTGCCTCACGAGAGCTACTGCGAAGAATATATGTGGCATTCATACGAAGTAAAATGGAATATGGTGCTACAATTTTAGGGAATATCGCAAAGTCTTTATTGAACCGCATTGAAACCATTCGAAACTCGGAACTCAAATACATCCTGGGGGCTCATCGTACAACGCCTGTGCTATCCTTACAAGTTGAAAGTTTTATTTCCCCTTTGCAACTTAGATTTCTTTGCCTATTCATGAAATGGACTCTCAGGTATATGTACATGCCTGCAGGGGACCAGGTGGCATCTATGCTGGGATTCTTGGATCAGGGAAACCTTCTACCCACACCTTTCATTGTCAGAGCATGTCAAAGCTTTCAGGAGTTGAACCTACCGTCCATACAGCGAGTTCCAACATCGCTAATGTCTGCTATTCCTCCCCATGTAGATCTTTCCTCCAGCATCTGCGTGGATTTACTGAATTCTGCCGTCAACTCAATACCACCCCAATTTACACAGAATTGCTTTCAAGACTTCTGGAAGCAGCATTATCCTCAACATCTGCAGATCATTACTGATGGATCACGGACTACCACTGGATCTGTCTCCGCTGGCCCATATGTGCCATCAACCCAACTAGCCACTGGGTGGTGGCTGAATCCAATGCATACTGTACTGGGTGCCGAACTTTTTTGCTATATACAAGGCTGTGCAGCTTGCCATCATGGACATGTCTCTACAGAATAAGCCAGATCTGATCTTGTCTGATTCTCGAGCAATACTGAAGTTAATTTCTTCCACTTATGGTGGCTGTTATAGATAGATTGTACTTCTAATTCAAAAATTGATGCAAATTAAGGGGCTAGATAGCGTGGTGATGTGCTGGATCTATGGTCACAGCCAGATTCTTGGAAATGAAATTGCTGACAGAATTGCCAATCTTGCGCACTCAAACGATCGCTCTGCAAGATCCACTTTATGCTTTGAGGAGTGGCTACGAGTGCTGAAATCCAAATTTTTTGAACATTGGGCATCCTGGTAGTCACAAGAAGTGCAGGCCTCAGGAAAAGGAGCCTTCAGGCTTGGCCTGGGAGCATCAGTTGATTATGTGGTGTATGGATCTCTACCACGCTCAATGGAATGTGCTGTGGCTTGCCTGCGACTTGGCCATGCTGGAGTGAAGGCTCACTTGGCTCGTTTTAAATTGTCTAACTCCAGTATGTGTCCTACGTGCAATACTGAGGACACTATTAATCATTTCATCGTGCAGTGTTCGCTCTACACAAACCAGAGGAGGGAGTTTCACGCCAACTTGGAAAATCTTTCACTTCCTTGGAACCTTGTATCAGCTCTTGGTGGGGGAGATATCCCTCAGAAAACAAGCACAGCAGTAATTCGTCGGCTAGGACAATACCTGCTGAGCTGCAGCATGGTAAACACCCTATGAAGATTCCCAGATGAAGATGACCAGTAACTAATTCTTTGCCTCTTCTTTCACACAACAAACATGGGCTGGTGAGAATTAAACAGTGGAAAGATAAGTGACAAGAGGAAAAAGGCTCAGATAAAATCGAGTTGTGCCCAGACTGGAAGGTGTGAATTCTTCGTACCCAAAGTCTTAAAAATAATTAAAAAAACGGAAAAGGCCTACATATGAGGGATGCTTGTAAATTAAAAAGTATCATTGTACATAGTGGCTTAAAATCAAGGGAGTAGTGGCTTAAAATCAAGAGGACAATTTGCCAATCATTTTGCATTGTGAAAACACATGAAAATGTTAGCAAAAGTATGGCCGAGTGGAAGGCTTATTCCCCAACCATCAATTTGTCTATAAAAGTTGCCAGCAAATACAAAAAATGAGTTTAAAACAGATAATTAAAGAAGAGATTTTAAAAAGTTGCGGTTTAAACCCATGACTCTGTCAATGACTCTTTTAAACAAAGAATTGAGGCAGGACATGGCTACTCTTACTCAAACAACTTGCACTTCAGGCATTGGAGGTTTGCAAATACCCCGTAGCAGGAAACTCCTGCTTCCTTGTAAATTTAATGAAAATTGGTCTTCCCACAACACAGTAGGCATAAATATTATAATACCCAATTATAATAAATAATTATCAACAATTAATTATATTGAACACAGGTGGAACAACTAACTGCATTGCGGAAGCTGAGCTGTGCGTGGGTTGACCTTGTGTTAGTTTAAGTATGCCTCACGTGAGCTCGTGAGGTTGTTAGGTCCCTCTTCTCCTGACTATAACATATAGCTAGGCTCGAAGGAAGCTAACAACATCTGCAGCATGGCACAATACTTCCTTTCCTACCCTTAAGCATGAAGGGAAAATTACCTCATATTATTAGTGGAAAAACATCCCTCCTAGTCTGCGCTGCCACAAATAAATTTTCCAAACTGCAACTTTCAATGCGTGTGGCATTGGGGGTGCATATCAGATCTTTATGAGAATTATATGGTTCTTGCTAATCTTCTAACATCACTCTAGTAGGAGATTAAGCAACAGAATTCTTTAAATTTGACATAGTGGGTTTCAGAATTGCTGGATTCTGAAAATTTGGGGAACATCTATCCAGGCATTGTGGGAGATAAGCTGCTACGCACAATAGTTCAAGCTGCTACTAAAGCCAAATTTGAGCAATCAAATACAATCAAGAAATGAGGACCCTGTATATCGTAGATCAATTGCGCTGTCCAGTTTGAAGGGTTGAATAAAAGCCACCATAATATGGGGTAAATTTTATTCCATTTGCAAAATACCCATAATTTGAAATCAGTCCTGAAGCATCAAAATTCAGAATAAATTGATCCTGATTTATGAAAAAGAAATTTTTATGAAAACAAGAAACATGCAAATATAACATTACTAATTTTGAGGAATGCATCAAAATGTTGGAGCTGGTTCAGTAACACTTAATCTTATTCAGTAAAATATGCCTAGAAAACATAGGATAATTTTTGACACCAACAAATAATATTAAATTTAATTAATCGAAGTCGTCGTGAGTCATGCACGGTTACTGAACTACTGAAAAAGTCAATCTTTTGTGCAACAATACAGAAGTAGTAACCTCCAGGAGCATGACTCTGGCAGTTACAACACCAACAGCTTCCTGCTCCTCAAAATGGCTTCAAGAAAAATGGTTGATGATATTCCAATGAAGTATAGCATTCAGTCCTCAAAAAAGCGAGATAATTTGTTGTTTTCTTTCATATGCACGTTGCATCAAGTGACAGCGACCTTCAAGAGACATTGAACAGCTGAGCCCCCTGTGCTTGGTGACAGCAAGTGCCTTGGATTCGGTGCGCTACATAGCTAGGTCATGTTGTCTCTAAGGATTAAATGTGCAGCACTTGATTCCTATGTCCAGCTCACTTCATCCACATGCACCTTTGCAGTTTTGCCAATGAAGTAGATTCTGATGGGGCATGAAAAGTAGATGAAAAAAATAAATTTTTGACACATCACACTGTGTCATTGAATGGAATTTTTCTATTAAATGTTTTTGAAGAAAATGTATTTTCACATTCCCTTTTATGATGCAAGCACAACCACACTCAGAGCACACTGAATATTCCATTCTGTTGGATGATTGAAAAGAGAATGTCTTTTCAAGGCCCCATAGATTTTGTAAGAATAATCACACTTAGAGTACTGAAAAAGGTTTTTCTGTGGAATGATTGTTAAAAAAATGTGTTTTCAAATCCCATTTTGTGGTGCAGGCATAATCACACTAGAAGCACTGAATTAGTTTTTCTGATGAATGTTTGTAAAGAAAATGTGTTTTCAAATTCTCTTTTGTAGTGCAAGCATAATCAAACTTTGAGCAGAAATAGATTTTTCTTTTGAATGTTTGAAAAGAAATTTTTTTTCAAGTCCCATTTCTTGGTGCAAGCATAATCACACTTGGAGCACTGAAAAGGTTTTTGTTGGTTTTTGTTGAATGTTCCTGAATGAAATGCCTTTTCAACTCCCCTTTTGTGGTGCAAGCATAATCCAACTAGGAGCACTGAATTAGTTTTTCTGTTTAATGCTTGCAAAGAAAATGTGTTTTCAATTCACATTTTGTGGTGCAAGCATAATTGCACTCAGAGCACTGCAGAGATTTATCTGCCGAATGCTTGGAAAGGAAATTAATTTTTAAATTCCTTTTTATGGCGCAAGCATAATCCAACTCGAAGCAATGAATTTGGTTTCTGTCGAATATATGTAAATAAAATGACTCCTCAACTCTCCTTTTGTGGTGCAAGCCTAATCACACTCAGAACACTGAAAAGGTTATCCTGTTGACTGTTGTAGAAAAAATGACTTTTCAAGTTCACTGTTGACTTCTCAAGATTTTTCTGTTGAATGCCTGCGTAGAAAATGTCTTTTCAACTCCCATTTTGTGGTGCATGCATAATTTCACTCAGAGCACTGAATAGGTTTTTCTGTTGAATGTTTGTAAATAAAATGTCTTTTCAAGTCCCATTTTGTGGTACAAACATAATCACACTTAGAGCACTGAATTGGCTTTTCTGTTGAATGTTTGTAAAGTAAATGACTTTTCAACTTTCCCTTTGTGGTGCAAGCATAATCACACTTAGGGCACTGAAAAGGTTTTTTGGTGGGATGTTTGTGAAGAAAATGACTTGTCAAGTCGTATTTCGCAGTGCAAGCATAATCACACTTGGAGCACTTAATAGGCTTTACAGTTGAATACCTGCGGAGAAAATGTATTTTCAACTCCCATTTTTTGGTGCATGCATAATCACAATCAGAGCACTGAAAAGGTTTTTCTGATGAATGTTTATGAAGAAAATGACTTTTGAACTCCCATTTTGTGGTGCAAGCATAATCACACTTAGAGCACAGAATAGGTTTTCTGTTGAATGCCTTCGTACAAAATGACTTTTCAACTCATATTTTGATGAGCAGACATAATCACAAATGGAGCACAGCAAAGGTTTTCCCATTGAATGCTTGCGAAGCAAATGACTTTTCAAGTTCCTTTTTGTGGTGCAAGCATAGTCGCACTCAGAGCAACAGAGCTTCTTCACTGACAAATGCTTAGATAAGCAATGCTTGTGCAAGACTTCTTTGCAGCCATCAGCATGTTTACTTTGAGAGTATTTCTGTGCATTTCTTGGTGGAGGCTGTGAGCAAATATGTTGTTCGAGATCAGTATCGTTAGTACACGAATTCAAACAGAAGCGGCTTTTTGATTTACGTCTGCATGAATTTTTGGAGTCAATAAGCACTTGAATTGACTTTCTTGTGGTAGAAGATTGTTCAAAGTCAGGGAGCTGAAAAAATTTGTTAATTGAATGCATAGCATTAATGTGCTGCTGCAGTCCAATCCCTGAATTAGAGGTGTTTTCAGAGAAGCGGTGAGGTCCTGAAGCAGAATTATCTACATCAATGTGATGTGGTAGTTGGCCTACACCTGCAGGCGCTAATGCATGCTGGGAACACCAGGACGCGACGCGTTCCTTAGAGCAGGATGCCTCAGAGGCGTCAGTGTTGCCAGCAGCGTCTCTTGATGCCAGTGCTGACCCAACTTCACCAAACTAATGACAAAAATACCGAGTAAAACAATTTCCCATATAATTAACAGACACAGTAAACTGTTGACTTGCATGTTTGATTTTTAGTAAAACGCATTAGTTGTTGCAACATAAATTGAAAATTGTGACAAATATTGTAAATAATTGGAAACTTCCACCCAGTCTGTTCTGGTTCATGCAAGGATTACTCAGGGTTAATTCTCGGTCTGAGCAAATAACTGAGTTACAATTTCCTGGCCAGATGCTCCATCAGTCAATCAGTACCAGTGCTTATAAAGTCAACTAGTTTATACTTACATACCAATAATATAACAAAATATAGGTGATTTCAGGTAATTTGAAAAATCAGTCAAAAATTTGTTCCATAGTGAAATTTATGGACAGCTAAAATCAAATAAAAATACCTGATTTAACAATGGAGCAGAAATTTTCTGCAAGGAGTTTGGGTGGGCGCCGAGTGGCACAACTGGAGCTTCCATCTTGCATGGCACGCAAGAAGAGAGTGCACGTGCAGGGCTAAGATGTACAGTTGAACAAACCTGTGGGGGGTTTGGATGACAATTTGATGAGGCTATAGTGATGTGTACATTTTATGAAGAGTAATATAATATACTCTAACCAGGGACCAGAACTCTTCCTAGAACTATCTTCAAGTTCTTAATATCTCAACAACACATGAATGTGTTAGCATTGAAACTAGGTTGAAAAAGGCTACTGTGTAGCCCAACCTTCATGTCTTCCTTCAATAATAATCACATTTCATTCTTTGATTAAATTTACTCAATTTAAATTATATTCATTATTTTTGAAGTTAATGAGTGGGTTAATGATCTATTAAGAAGCATTAAAATGTCATTAATATTTCATTAATAATATAGGCTTTGATTTGTCTTTGTTATCTTTTTAATTTTATTGGTGTTATTTGGCTAATTGCATGAATTGATTTTCTTAGATCCCTGGCACATTTACTTCATTTTAATTCATTAGCAATATTGTTAGATAATTAATTTATTTTGTGTTGTTATGGTCATAATTATTTTCAGTGAGTTTATGTTCTCAATTCTGCTTGCAATATTCCTTGATTGATACCCTTGTTTTTTGCTTTATTCGAACCTCATTCAAAGATAACCCTAAGTTTAAAGGTAAAGTCACAACATGAACATGAAGCTGCAATCAGTTTGAAGGAAGTTAATAGTTCTTGCATTTTTAATGTTTTACATCAAATCAGTTTATCAGTCATTCCTGATTTGCACTTTATTCAGTTCTTTCAGTTGCAGTTTCACCTGCTCATCTTCACCTGTCCATGCTCCTTAAATAAAACTAACTTGTCTGTTTTCACTACACTGTCCAAATTAATTTAATCATTAAATTCCCAATTTTGCTAAAATATATGTTCATTTGATATACAGAACTTTATTTCAATTTCATTGTCATTATTTATAGGAACCAGTCTTCCAATATTTTTTATTTAGAGCAGAGTTGTTGCCAATTACCCAATCAAGTAGATAGCAGGTTCACCTCACCTGCGGCACAAGACTTAATAGACCCGGCAACAGCATCACCAATTACTGACTATAAAATGACTTCTCACATCAATGCTTCATAGTGTAAACATTTCAATTGCCTGTTTTCTAGTTATAATAGGTTAAAAAAGTGTCAATTTCAGAAACTAGTGCACACTTGTGTCAAGTTTTTGTTTGGATCACATTGGAATCCACAATTGTTGTAGGCATTTTCATTTGCATCGTATTGACGTTGTTAATAGGGGTAATCTTAGGGCAGGTCAAGCTTGTGTGATTAGCTCAACATTTCTATTTTACAATTTCTTACATTTATTTATTTTCATTTACTGCAAACAGGTTAATTTTTTGTCATATTTAATGCTAAAATTAGTAATAGGTAATACATTTGTGCCTAATATCCCACTATGTTTCCTTGTCTTGTTCAGGTGTTGAATGACCCTATGAACCTAAATTATTGCATGCAAATGAGCTTGTCTTGAGTTAGCAGAAGATTCTGAAAATCACTGCCATCACCAGTTGGTGAGTTGGCTGATTATTCTGTGTGTGATTCAATTAGGTGTTTAATATTGTTTAATATACATGTTTCAGGTTCATGTATTATGGATTTTAGTTCATGTTCATTCTATTGTCATTAATCAATAAATGTTACAATAGTTCTTTTCATTTCTGTCAGCTTAATTAATTTTTAGTGTGATGTGTGTGCTTTTGATAATTACTTTGCTTTCTCAAATTATTTTTGCACTTATGTCCGGTATTGACCGACATCCTCAGCTGTTCATTGATTGTGTGTGCCACCTTCAGTGACATCACACTTGCGGTTCTCTACTGTGCCTTCGGCACCGATAGTCAGTCACTCGCCAGCCACTCTAGCAACACGTTTGCTGGCTGCAGCTAAAGCCTTGCTAATATAGTCACCCCGCTTTGTCACGCGTTCCGTAATATAATATAGTTCACTTAAAGTCAACTCTGTCTTTCAGTCCCCTTGGCTGTCTAAGACTAGACCACTTCTAAGAACCCTGAACCAATAATCTGATAGCATAGCTTAAAGTCAAAACACGAGCTGTGACAGTGGCGCTAACGAACAGATGAGAAGTGAAGTGATTGATTGACAGTGATACTAAATGCAAAATAGCAGTGACTCAGATCTAGAAGACAGCCTAAATATTGGAGTGCGTCCAGTGCGTACCAGAAAAGTGCCCATTAGGTACCCAGACAGGGAACCAAAAGTGGAGATGGAACCCGGTACGCAACCAAGCGCAACATCTACGCCCGCTGCAACGCACGCCGCTGTCGGGCCAACATCGGGATCATCGACGACGGATATGGTAAATAGCCGACCTGCTATGACATACGTTCCGAGCCCGAATGAGATTCCAAACTTTCGTGGTCATGTATTGCAAGGTGAGCCACCGGCATCAGTCGGTACGGCTGAAACGGACGTGAAAACATGGTTGGATCATATGACTATTCATTTTGAATCCACGGGGTTGACTGACGATCGTAGTCGTATCCAGCAATTAGCACAACACACCCATAAAAAAATGGGGTGATGCACGAACGGTCGTAAATAAATACCTTAACGATGATCACTTAGGCTTTACTTTTAAAGAGGTGAAAAAGGACCTCCTACTCACGTACTCAGGAGTCACATGCGTTTCTTTCGTAGACGCCGCCAGGGAGTTCTTCGATGTTGCACACGCCGCGAAACCCGAAAAAATAAACGCTACACAAAACGTTTACGCACTGCGCGACGCAGCCATCAAAGTAGCGAAAACTTTCGTAAACCGCAGCAGTTACAATCCAGCCGTAGAACAACGTCCTCTAGTCGACGTCATCACAGAAGTTGTTTTCGACATGGGTGCCAGCTTAGTCTTCAAGAAGCGCGTCGTCACCGACACCCTCCTAAAACGGACGGCCAATGACCGCGTAGCAAACGTATATTCTGCACTAACGCATCATGTGGTAGCCACAGAAAAAGATATCTACCGAAAAACCCCAGCGAAGAGCGTACATAAATTGTACACCGAGAAACAACCAACAGCAGCAGCAACGAGTTCAACGACCGCCGAGACGACGACTGCAACAAATGCAGCAACAGCGGCCCCGCGAGGTAACCGACGAGGCCGCGGCCGCCGGTCGCGACGTGGTGGCCGAGGATACCGTGGCAGAGGTGGATACCCTGGCCAGCCAACGAACAATCCGACACCGTCAAGAGGAGGATATTTCGGCCAACCAATGAACAATCAAACACCCCCAAGAGGTGGATACAGCACGAGAGGCAGCCACTCAAACAACAATCAACAAGTTGAGTACCGTCGTCTTAATCCTAATGTAAATGTTTGTCGTACTAACACTTATCCCACAGGTTTTTATGTATAAGAGAACCACACTGATGATTCTCACAATGATTGACGCCAGGCGAGAGAGGTAACAAATTGTTCCTCTCGCAAATCCAACAGTGATGATGTAAAATTTTCTTTTGATTGTACTGATGCAAAACTAACGCACATGTGCTCTAAATGTAAGCTAGCAAATAAGCCATGTAAGTGCAATGATCCTATGCAAAAGCACTCTGAGAATAATTTGGTTTTCTCGGATCGAAAAGTGTGTATCGGAGAGAATTCCAGAATGCCTTCGAAAAACATTTTTCCTACCGACTTGACTGAATTGGAATCGGAGAAAGAACTGACGAGTTCTCTAAGTACACTGAGAGAAATTTTTGCCTCCAAAAGCGAGTCATCCACAGAAGTGGGTCATAGTGACCCACTTGCTCCACAACCCGCAGCATAAGCCGCAGCTAAACGGAACATGGGTCAGCGGATCATCGATATGACTCAGTTCGCAAAGTGCCTTCCTTGAACGCGGTTCATATATACGCTCATTGACTCCACTGATATTGCCTTATATTTCGTGATGGTGTTAACATAATTCGTGTGTAAACAGAGAATTAGTGCATTGGCTATAAGTAGAAAGAAAAATATTGACCGTTGTCAATAAATATAGGTAAATATTTACAGGCAG